TATATATATATATATTGTAGATATAGATATTTTATTCAATTATTTTCAATAATATTTTCTGAATAAATAAACTTTTTATTTTTAAAAAAACAAAAATTATTAATTTTTTTAAAATTAGCAGTTTTTTATTTGTTGCAATTTTAGTTTTTTATTTTAAAATAATTTAAAAACTCCAACTTGAAACTACTCTCCAATTTGAATGGACTGTTTTTTTATTTTTATTATAAAATATTTTATTTTATTATTTTATAGATATTTGAATTCAAAAACTATAACCAATAACTACTCCCTCCGGTCTACAATAAGTAACCAATTTGCTTTTTTATTTTGGTCCAAAATAAGTATCCACTTATATAATCAAGAAAAAATTTAATTTGTTTTTTTCTAATTTATCCTTATGTATGTATCCCTAAAAAATCATTTACTCATCACATTTGAAAAGAGAAGTAAGTACTACTATAACTATGGTGTAACATTTAATGAAGGGTAGTTTACTTACACTAACAATCTTTGTCTAAAATTTAGTATTTTCTTAATGGATGTGCCCAAACCAAATTGGTCACTTATTATGGATCGAGGGGAGTAATTATTAACTACTTATATCATGTGACTTTTATCTAGGATGTCATTTGGCTTACGAAAAGGGTTTTTTCCTCTCCTTTAACCAAAAAAAAAAAATCATAATATTGAGGTGTCGTAACCAAAAGTTCCACGGCGTTAACTTCCACCATCATCATTTTGTTTTAATGTTCTTTAATATATATTGGTTACTTTCCAACTCTCGCGAGTTCTTATACTCGTACTAGCAAGGAAACATGAATTCAAATTAAGGGACAGCAAAAGCACACGGGCGAAATAAATTCATCATTTCTCCATTTCACTTCAACTATTTTCAGAAAACTGCAGAATACTTCAATTCATCCACACCAAATAAAAAATAACCATAGTCTTCCAAACACATAACAAAGCTTTCTACTACAAGTCATAGTTTTAGAATACAACACGAATCCCCAAAAATATCTAAAGAGCTATGTATTCAAATTAAAGGGGTGGAAGATAGAAAAAAAAAAAAAAAAGAACCTTAGAACAAGGGAAGGAGGCCATGGCGGAGGGTTCAATTCTACAGAAGGTTTGCATAATTTCGTATTTGCAATAAAAGAGTTGTGTAGAGGAAGGCAACGGTGGGGCTGTCGCACGCTTTCACACACCCAATTTTTTTTTAGCTTTTCGGAATATTTTATATCAAATTGCTAATTAATTACAAGGCATACAAAAATCTTCTTAGAATATGCTCCCTTTTCTATTCTTAAAAAAAAATCATTTAATTTTATTTTATTATTCCCAACCCTATATACTCACTTTGGATACCCATTAATTCATATTCAAGCCGTATAATACTAATTAATTGATAAAGCCTATCAATATTTTATTCACGACTTAAATTCGGGGTACCACGGGTTGAGAGATTTTATCTATTCTATCGAAACGTCAATAATAAAAAAATTCGTTAATATTAGTTAGTTAGTTGCAAGTTATTAGAACTAGAAATCAATACTTTTACACTAGAAAAAAAATTACTTTATGGCTTTGATTAACTCAACTTATTACTTCATTTATCCAAAGAATGTTTTTCTTCTTCTTCTTGAGCTTAAAATTAAGTTTTTGACCAACATTTTAAAAGTCAACCTATTGCCTATTTGGAATTAACATTTTATTTATGTATTATTTAAATAATACATAAATTAAAAGAATAAGGAGGAGGTAAATACATCTGTGAGAACCAAAATAAAAGTAAGCGCATCTGAAAGAATCCCTTTGTTCACATAAATTATAAAAGTGAAGGGGGAAAAAATGAAGAAAAACTAACTGTACCAAAAAAATAAAAAAAATAAGGAAAACTATGTACCTAGAAGAGAAGAAATATAAAAGAATGACATCATGTTTACAGAGAAAAGGAGACGTTAGCTATTAATTATTGCCCCATTCCAACTTTATTTTACTTTAATAGTCATATCTACGTGACCAGCAAGAAGTAATATAAGAAGTGCATGGTCTATAGCAGCATCCTGACTTTGGAGTTCTTTAGATACTAATTCTAGCACACTATATTCAATATTCTTTGTGGACGTCTTTGTGATGCTTACGGAGAAGTAGCTCAAACATATACAAATTTCTGTGTGTTATATATATGCAGATCAGTCTTTTTGCACATTATTTTACAAAACACAGTCCTTGGTCTTGCTCAAGGATTCTGATTCCCAGGTCAGCCAAACCGGAGGATATATTCTAATCAAGATCAAAGCGCTCGACTCTATTGCATGACGGAATAAAAATAACAATACTCATCTTAAAGAAGTATAGGCTACCAAGGAAAACATAAAGGTCTATAATAAAACACATTATCCCTTTAGAGCAGCACAAGCAGCTTGCAAACGTGAGAATTCTTCAAACTTTGATGTCATTGAATCGTGATTTGGAATTACTCCATGAAAAGAATTTGAGATAGTCGCCTTTCATAGACCTTATTACAAACTGGGACTTGTGCTATGGAACTACTGTATAGCTACACAGATTGTATGGTACATGAAGGTCTTAAATATTCAAGAGTTGACTTGAGTCTAAGATCTATATATGTACTTCCATGAACAGGCCAAAGGGTTGTCATATTTATAGTGCATAAATGCCTAAACATATATATCAAGCACATATTCTTGTATCAAAATATCATGAAATCTCGGCATAATTAAGAAAATTATAATAGAAAGAGATTTAAGATCTAGAATAGCTTATAATGAAACATTTTCAAATGCAAAACGTCATCCAAAGCCCCTGCAGATCCCACCTGATATAGATTAATCTCAAATCAGTTTTTACCACGTAAATCATATACCAACATTATGTATCTTGAAGAGATGGGACATCGTATAAACTTGATCTTCTTGGACCATTTAGAAAGTTTAGGTTGGTCCTTTGTTTCTCTTACACACTTGAATCTCATTTGTAGAACCATTAGTATTATATGTTTTCAGTTGCTCTACAGCTTTTTTATCCATATATCTTCATAGATCCAATCACCAAAAAAGTAATTCTGCTGATTTCTGTTGTTTTAGCTCATTTAGGAGAGAACATGAGTTACCATTAATGTTCAGAATACACAGAGCAGCTAAGAAGAGACACATTGCGATACATAAACTTGAGAATTAAGCGAAAGTCTGTAGCTTGTTTCCAATACCTAACACGATGTTTGGGTTGCCCGACCACTTCAGCGTTAAGTCACTCCTAATATTAAGTGCATAATAAAACATCAAGGATAGACAACCTAAAATTTATGAACAAATAAGTACATCAACATGGACAAAGATAATATGACATACATACATACATGTAGTTCTATCAAAACCACCTGAAAAGAATAGAATTGATCTTCAGGGTTCAAATCGGACATAATAAAATCATTTGCAAGTAAATTATTACTTATATTAAAGTTGGTTTAACGATATGTTATCCATTATCGCATTCAACCAAGGAAACTTCAGCAAACCCATTCGTAGTGAAAAAGGCTAACCAGTGGACACTAAGTCGCTTTTAGAAAATTTAAGCAAGAATAATATTGATACACCATTGAATCAAGCCGAAGTATCTGCTACCTCAATAGACAAATACGATTTTACCTATTCATCAAAATCACAACTTTAAGTCTCTTGCCTTTAAAATTAATTCAATATAAAAGTAAATAGCCATTTCATGTAGAACTTACAAATGGAGCGGAAAAAGGAGAGTCAGCTACTAAATTCTTTGCTGGTTCAATTTATCCTACAATAGATAGATGGGAATGAAAGTGAAATTTCGAGTATGCAGCAAAATATTGCACATAATCTGAGAAAAAACGTGCCTATATACAATGTATTGAGCATCCAATGTATAGGAGGAAACCAAAAAGAAAAAAGTCAGGAATTCCACCATTTTTCCAGTGAGAGATATGTCTACTTTCTTATCCCAGATACTAAGATCAGATTGAAAAAATCAAAGAAAGAAAAACTCTAAAAAATTCAGATGACAGAACATCATACATACATGTAAATTGAAGTAAAAAAGAAGATTTGGCTAAGAATAGGAGGAGTAGCTTACCTGAAAATTGAAAGAGTAATCTGAAAAGACAGAAATTATCTCGAAAAGGAATGGAATGGAACCGGAAAAGTAGAATGGAGGAAGCTTTGCGGTGGCTATGTGCTAGCTGTAGGCACGAAAGCCACCAAGAAATGTATACATCAGCTAATATGTAAATTGACTAAATTGCGATCGATAAATATAGAATGACCTAAAAGCACACACGTCGAACAAAGAATCTTTTTTCATGCATCTATATAGTAGAAATGTAGTAGCTGAGAAAGGACAGACATCAACTTTAATTTGTAAAAATCTAAGAACCCTCATTCACTAGAATATCGCAGCACAGATTAACATGAAAAAATTGAATCACTTTGTAAAAGCATGAAAAATAAATTTCACCTTCTGTTCCTTCATCTCCTCTTCATCCTCGTCTTCTTCATCTTCTTAATCATCATCTTCTTCAATAACATCTTTTATATTTTCAGACTGAATCCCCTTCAGCAGTCTCACCAGTAAACCATACATGAGGAGTTATTTTGTCCCGAATTGTTGAGCTACACAAGGAAGAACAAAATATAACATCACATTCACTATTCTAATCCAAACAACAGCAATTTATAACCCATAACGCAAAATAGAATTTGTTGGGACAAAATATCAAAGTAAAAGTTGATTCTGGCTCTCTTCAACCTGCGAGAAATATATTTGACACAGTTACCACATAAAATAAAAATATTTAGTTTATTTATCAAAAAGAATAAAGTCGAAGTTGTGGAACCTACAGTGTTGTCATCATGGAAGATGTTAGCAAAGAAGATGAGGATTATGGGTTTCAATAAATCACTCAATAATTTTAGTGGATATTTTCTTTCTTTCCATGTACAATAAACTTTGCATTTTATGGGATGTTATTTATGATGCTTCCTCTATGTCGGTATATTCTGTATAGCATTTTATTTTGTGGCACTTCCTAATGAGAGAACCTTCAATTTTAAAACTACAAGGCCCGATATAAGTGTTGTGTCGTATCTAGTTATAAATTCCACAAAAGTACATACCCCGAGCTCCTGAATTGAGTTTCAGGCTTTTAACAAGCCCCCTTTTTGTTCTATCCATGACTTTGACATTAGCTGAATAATCCAGTTGACACTTTGCTATAATCTTGTTGTGCTGCATGGTATGTTCTAAAAACACCAATTCATATAATGAGTTATCCGACCTTGTATTTGTAATAATAGCTTGTCCTAGATTCAAATAAATGTTGATCCAAAGAGCCATAGCTATGTAACATTCAGAAGGATCTCATTATTTAATCTAGCAACATAAATATGAGTCTTTTTTCTTGTCATGAGAAGGGTAGAGCACTATATAACAACATCCACAATAGAATTTACCATCTTCTTCTTGTCATGGTGCTGATCGGACTTTTTCTTTTCAAGGCAGTTCCAGCAAAGGAGGGAGTTACCTCATTTTCAAGGAGCATTTCTGTTAGCATCCTTGAACAAATATTTTGTTGCTTTAACAATTCTGCAATGTACCACAAGGAAAAAATTAAAACAACTTAAAACAAAAACACAACAAATTGTGCAGAACCATAGGTCAAAGAGAACAGAGGGTACCCAACGATGTAAGTCTTCTGGTTTCTTTATTTGCTAAATAGATTTTGCATTTTTTTATCCATGTCTACCAATTTCATCCTTAACAGGCATTTCAAAACCTATTCATCCTCAAAAAACATAGCAACAATTGACAATTTGATATGCATGCACAAACTTTTAGATACTCAGCCAAATTGAGAAAGAAAAAATCGGAATAAAAATCACTAGAAATCAAAAATCATAGAAGACACCGACAAACTGGAATCAAGATGGAAAACTTTGACACGAACTCAAAAGCTAAGGCCGAAATAGGAGAAACAAAGAAATAACATATTTGGGATTTCTTTGAAAACTAAGCGAAAAGGAAGAGAAACATGTAATGGGGCACTGGAAAAGAAAACAAACCCAAATTAGCGTCCATTAGAAATAAAAAAAGGCAGAGTAGATGCTCAAATTCCGGCTGCTTGGAGATGGAAACCCAGATTCTTCACATAGATTTGTCTTTTTAGACTCCATTTGCTGTTTGACAGGGAGAGTTTGGAGGCAGCACATGAAAGTTGTCGAAGAGACGGCATGAAACCTGAAAATAAGTGGAATGAGAAAAGTGAAAGCCGGTTGTTTTTAAGGTATCTAAATAACAATTTTACCCTTCGTCGTCCAGAAAGACTCTCACTTGTTGTTATATCATCAAGTGTTTCATGTTTTTTCCCGAGCAACTATAATAGTACTTCAGATCATATTTCTAATGACTCCTCATCAGTGCCAAAATTAAAGAAATCTCCTAATCAATCGTGGATTTGTTCAAAAAATCATCACGATCATTTTCCATATCAGATAAAAGGGAAATGTAAGAATATTACGAATCAATTTGGTCGACATCGTTGCCATTCCTCTGCAGATTTTAGCTATGATCAACTCAAAGAGCTAGTTTAAAAAAGGCAATGGCACCAGGTGGGATCATCACGCTCCTCACGAGAAATCTTATAGGCTGAATAATGGTTAGAAATTACAGGTGTTTTGTTATACAATAAATATCATGTGAAATATGTTATTGCACTGACATGTATAAAATAATTAGACAAAAGTTATATACTCCTATGATTTGCTGTAACTCTAAATTTTTTGATATTTTTTACCATTCTTTTTCACCTTTAAAACTCTCTTTGTTTCCTTCAATCTTCATGATTTGATTTTATCTATATCTACTTATATGAAGCTTCAAAATCTTACGTGCAAAATATCTGAATTTAAGATATATTTTTTTGGTAAATTCTTATAGTAAGGCTCTAGAGTCTAGACCTCTCTAAATGTTGAATATACAATTTACGAAGGGTAAAATTGTCATTTTAATACATCAAAGACAACTCGGCTCCACTTTCTCATTCCACTTATTCCTGTTTCTTCTAGAACTAGAACTAGAAGGTCCCTGCGCTACCACCAACTTCCATGAGAACTTCCCGTATGAAGCTCTGGGTTCCATCTCCTAACATTTAGAAATTTGAGCCCTAACTCCACCTTCCATTTCTAATAGATTCTAATTTTGTATTCATTTTCTTTCCTTCTGTCTTTTTCCCCAATGGCCCATTACAGACTTTGCTTCCTTTTTCGTTTAATTTTTTTAGAAATCCCAAATTGGTTGCTCCATTTCTTTCTTTATCCGATTTTTGGCCTTAACTTCTAGATTCCTATCAAAATTATCCATTTTGCTTCCACTTTTTTAGTGATTTCGGTTTCTGATTTCTGGTGAGTTCTATTCCCTTTCCCCTTTTTGAATTTGGTCGAGTATCTGTTAGTTTTCAAATTCTACTACATAGTTTCTTACGAGAGTTTGTGCATGCATGTCAACGATTGAGCTGTATGTTTTGAAATAGATAACTAGGGGCATGTTTCGCATGGTCCAAAGAATTGTTTTGTATTTTTGTTTTAAGTTCTTTTAAAACTTTTCTTGTAGCTTTATTGCAGAATTTTTAAGCGACAATGTCTTTGTGCCAAGGGTTCTAGCAAAAGTGCTCCTTGTAAATGCGGTAAGTCCATTCTTTGCTTGAAATAGCTTGAGAAGAGGTCTGATCAGCACCAAGATTCTCATTTCATCTTAACATGGTTGCTTACTGGCTTGCGTTCTAGCTAAAAATGTGAGTGTTCATAGGTTTTGTGGATCAATGGTAGTAGCAAACACCGTGCCAAAAGAAGATGTCAGTAAATTCTACTGTGGATATATTGTATAACCCTCTATACTTCACATGACAAGAAAGAAGATTAATATCTATGTTGATAAATTAAATGATGAGGTCCTTCTGAATGTCACATAGTTATGGCTCTTTGGATCAACATTTAATTGAACTCAGGACAAGTTATTATTACAAATACAAGTCAGGACAACTCATTGTGTGAACTGGTATATTCAGATCAAGAAGGGAGCTTGATGAAGCTCAATTTCAGGAACTCAGAGATTCAGATTATGTACTTTTGTGGAATTTATAACTAGATGCATCACAAAACTTACATCGGACTTTGTAGTTTAAAATTTTAATGTTCTCTCATTAGGAAGTGGTGCAATATAAAATGCCATACGGATTATACCAACATAGATGAAGAATCATAAATATGAAGAACATAACTGCAGTCATACTTTTGAGTGACACGTTTTGTTTTGAGTTAAATTTAGCTCTGCACGGGCATGTGTGCGAAATGCCGAAATCATCTGCACTGATGATGAGAAACATATTGTGTATAAAAGTTTCTGCATTCTTGTTTTTTGTTGAGTTCTTTGATCTTTATTCTTTTAGCTAGTGAATAGCATTGTACGCTTGGAAATACCATATGCTCAAAAGTTCACTTTTACCATCAAACTGTAAACAAAATAGAAGAAAATGACATCTCTCAACATGTAAAATAACATGTGTTCTGATTGTTGTGCACAGCAATTAGACATCTTTCGCCATGTTTGGCTCCTAGAATCTTAAGTAAATTTTCTTCAATTTTATTCATAACTCCTATGCCGGAAGTAACAAAAATACTTCATTCTAAATCCAACCTTGCTCCTAACTCTGCACCGAAGAAACACCATGCTCCAGAAATCTCAACCAAACTAAACCAAAGTTTTAAATTAGCACTGCATTTGAAAGAAAAGTTTGGCACTAAGTTGCGATTGGCTCCTCGTTCTTTGGTGTCGTCAAGGTTGACTCTGAAACTTTCACCCAAGCCAGCACCAAGGAATTATATTCATCAATTCTATTTTTAGAGCACAACGTTTTTTCTGGAAAAATGATTTATAAGGAAAAGGATCTTATGAATTGTTATGGTTTTAAGTTAAGTGTGGTGGGAGGATTGTTAGAAATAAAATAATCAAATTGGCTTTGAGGCGTGAAAATCAACTGTCCTTAAAGAGTTATCGCCTGTATACTAATTTAGGGAAAATACAAAACGATTCTCTTTAGGATACAACAAAGCCTGCAGTAACACTTGTGATTTTCTATATCCACTTCGTTGGAATTCTTGTGTATTTATAGGCAACCAACAGACCCTTTCTGATAGGATGTCTTGTTTCACAAACAGACACGACTATTTATTCAAATTTTGAATTTAAAATTCAAATAAATAATTAACTCTAGGATCTCGTGCCTGTTGAGTTAATCTCGTGTCTGTTGAGTCAGTCTCGTGCATGTTGAGACAAACTCGTGCCTGTTGAGATAAACTCGTACCTGTTGAGTCAATCTCGTGCATGTTATGCGCTATTTCATTATGATAAGTTCTGAGGCTAACAGGCACGGTACGAGTAAGAAACCTCCCACTTCCAACTTGCCAATAACAAACTATCTTACAGATATATAAGATTTCTAGCAACTACTCACTACTGTTAAAATTGTTTACTCTTTCAAGTTTGCCGGGGTTATTTCATTTAGATAAATAAAGAACTTTTCTGTATTTTTCCTTTAATGTGTTTTCATTTAAAGAGACGACACTTTCTCGCAGCATATTCAGCCCGACCTCGCTTTAGAAGTGCTGCCTTTTTCAGGTGGCATTTCTCTGTATACGATACGTCGCCTAAGGTTTCGGCACGAAGATATGGCTGGCCTATCGTGTGCTCAATTTGGTCTTATTCATCTTTCTTTTGTTAGTAAACATCTGACTTGCACGCATTTTATATAGGTTTTTTGTTAATGTCGGAATTTTATAAGGGTAACATTAATTTATTGCTATAGGTACACATATCTACACAGTATAACACAAAATATAAGGTAGAAGCAATTTGAGTTGTAGCTAAATAGACAATATTATAGATCAAAAGTTGCGAAAATTACCTGGTGTAGCAGTACTGTTTTCTCTTTCCTCCTAGAGCAAATTTCACTCTCAAGAGCCTGGGAAATCGGAAATGCATAGCCATTAAATTCTAGCTGAACAGAGGAAACATATGCGATAATTTACGGGAAAAATATTTTTTAAAGGCATTTATCAAGTACATTTTAGATGAAGCACCTACAAATCTATTTTCAGCTAATGGTGGGTCATTAGACTTCTTCTAGGATAACAATTTAAGCATACAATAGATTTTTTTTCAGGTGAGAGTATACAAATGAAGAAAGATTCGTAGCAATTTAGTATCACATTATTCAAGAGTGTGAAAGTTACAACCGCTAATAAGATTTCTCTAGATGCCGGGAACATATCATCGGAGAAAGATTTTTTCAAAGAGACAAGAGATGGTCCACAAAAGGCCAACTCTATTCACAGGCCATAATATTTTTTTATAAATAAATGTATTATTATAAAAATAGACGCAACACCAATTTTTGTTAAAGTCGAAATTTTATAAGGGTAATATTTAATTAATTGCTATAGGTATGCATATCTACACATTATAACACAAAATATAAGCTAGAAGCAATTTGTGTTCTAGCTAATTAGACAACATTATAGATCAGAAATTGCGAAAATTATCTGGCGTAGAAGTTGCGGAGATTACGTGGCGACAAATAAAAGTCAAATTACTCAACTAACCTTGTTATTCACCTTGTCACAACCAGGAACAAGAGATTGCAGTATCTTCATCCTTTCACTTATTTTCTCTTTCCTCACCTGAGATCATGCCCCAAGTTAAACAGTGAGAAAACTGTTCCAAACGAATAATTACCATATATATAGTACATGGTAAATTAATTATTATCTTAATGAAAAAAAATTAATCATATAATTACAAAATTGCTAAAGGGGAAAAAGAAAATTATACCCTTTCAGCGAGACAATGGCTGTCTGTTGCTTTTGACCCCTTCTTCTTGCTCTAATATGAATGTAACCTGTTGGAGCCTCTTCATTAGCTTTCTTCTCCTCTTTTGGTTAAGTTAAAAACTTTCTCCACTTATCTTCAGGTTCCATGCCCATTTCTTCGAGAACTCTTCCTGCCAAACAACAAATGGAGGCTAAAAGAATACATCTATGTGAAGCTCTGGGTTTCCATCTCCAAACAACGTGAAATTTGAGTGCCAGCTCCACCTTTAATCCTAATGGATGCTAATTTGGGTTTGTTTTTTTCCCAAACAGCCCCTTACACAGCTTTCTCTCCCTTTTCGTCTAATTTTTCTTAATCCCTAATATGTTATTTCCTTCTTTCTCCTATTTTTGGTCTTAGCTTCTGGGTTAGTGGAAACAATTTCCTATCTTGATTCCAGTATGTTGGTGACTCTATGATTTCTGATTTTTGGTGAGTTTTATTCCTTTTTCCCGTTCTGAATTTAGTTGAGTATCTAAAAATCTGTGCATCCATTTCAATCGTTGCTATGTTTAGAGATAGATACTTAGAAGAGTGATATTGTGTTATATTTTGTTCTTTCTTTTGTAGCTCAACAATTCGGGATAAAATAACTTCTCATGTCATGCCATGGTTTACTAGCGAGGCTGCTCAAGGAGATTCAAGCTGAAAATATGAAAGTTGTTATCGAGGAAGATGAGGATGAAGAAGATGCATATGACAAGGATGAGGAGGAGATGACATAAAAGAATGTGAGATTTTTTGCCTGCTTTTACAAAGTGATTCGTCTTTTTCCTGTTAATCTATGCCATGTTATTCCAGTTAAAGAGGGTTACTAGATTTTTACAAATTCTCTTTGCAAAGTAAAAGTTAATGTGTTGCCCTTCTCAGCTGCCACATGTTAATAGAGGGTATTGTAGCCATAAAGATTGCTTTTAGAAGTTAATTTGAGTGTGTGTTTCTCTTACATCAAAGGCTTGAACCACTAGAATAGAGTGGGTGATGAAAATTGGCAAAGCAACTAATGAACTAACTCTTTTCTTCATTCTTTTGTCATGTATTTTCTTGATATCTTAGGGTCTTTATTTTAAAGCAGTCTGTTTCATGAAGCTTTTGTAATATCCATAAAATTATCGTGCATATAAACGAATTGTGACTAGAAATGATAATATGGAGAATGGCAGCGATGGAAGACAAGTTGCGGGAATCGAGGTTGCGATGGTTTGGCCATGTGAGGAGGAGAGACATAGATACCCCGGTCAGGAGGTGTGAGAGGTGGACCATGACGGGCTTGAGGAAGGGTAGGGGTAGGCCAAAGAAGTATTGGGGAGACGTGATTAGGCATGACATGTCAGTGCTTCGCCTAACCGAGGACATGACTAGTGATAGGAAAGTATGGAGATCGACGATCAAGGTGGTGGGTTGACTGGTAGTTGTGAGTTTCTCCTAAGGTTACCGGTAGTAGTAATATTCTTGTTGCTAGTTGAAAGATACTTTCTTCTTGTTTGTTATTATATTTGGTACATGACAATCAAGTCCACTATTTTTGTGAATTACTACTAGAAATTGTTGCTTCATGCTTGTTACTGTTTCATGTTACTTTTTTCTGGACTTTTACTTTTTTCTTAACTTTCGCTAGAATTGTTGCTCCCTGATTGATACTATTTGATGCTACTATTTTCTCACTTTGTCTTATCGTCCTTTGTCTCTTCTTTCCTCCCCCTATTTCTTCTTCTTCTCCCTTCTCTTCCTCTCCACACGTTCTTGAGCCTAGGGTCTATCGGAAATATCCTTTCTACCTCTCTATATAGGGGTAAGGTCTGCGTACACATTAACCTCCACAGACCCCATATGTGGGATTATACTGGGTATGATGATGATGATGCCGGTTCTACATGGATCTCCCTCTCTATTTTCTTTCTTTCTCTCTTGTATTTTCCCTTTCCTTCTGGGTATCATTTCACAAATTCTCCATTTGTGATTTCTGTTTTCTAGCTTCTATTTCATTACTTCTGGTAAGATTTCCCCTATCTTTTCCTTTCTTACCTTCATTTTTTGCCCATCACTTCCGGATTTTTGTGAAAGTTTGTCCAGCTTTGCTTCAATTTTTAGTTTGTTACTCTTCCGCACAATTTCTTGCTAGTATACATAGAATTGAAACAGTAACAACTAATAGTAGAGGTTTACAGATGGAGTAATACTTAACACTTGATGTATCTGCTTTGTATTTATTTAAATGTTCTTGCTTCTATCCTTCTTTCTCTTCTTTCTCTTCTTATGTTTCTGCCATCTTACAGCTACTTAATCATCCTATACTCTCACCCTCAACTTTAAAGACAGAACATATAAATACGTACAATAACTACAAGAACTGAAAGCTATTAATCAATGGCCTACCAACCTTGTATCAGTTCCTTCAGCTAAAGAATTTGGTGCAAGAATGGAAGCCTTCTATTGGAAGAATCAACGTTGTTCGCTATGTCCATGACCTTTACTTCTAGCTTCAATCGACTATTAGTGTTCTGTGAAGCTTCTTCTGAAGCCATTAGCCGACGAAGTAGAAAGATGAGAACCATGAATTGTTATCTGCAACAAATAAAAACAAATATACCAATGAATGAACCAACATACAACAGTCACATGTCACAGCATATACCAATCATATGTGACATTCATATACGGAACTAAACCATGTAAATCTGCACATGGAAGGTAATATTCATGAAACACCACTGTCCCAAAAAACATCTAGAATAAGAAAAAAACAGACAGAAAGATACCAAACAACGTTATAATCCAAGCACGTTTTGTGGTCCATAGTATGTCGCTTTTCCAAACAGAGAATGAACTTCCTTAGCATCGAAGCATCTAAGTTTCGAACTGGAACGAGCATCAACGATGTAACCGTAAAGATTGAGATTTGAAACCTACAAAAGTACAACTATTAAACTCAATATAACCTTTAAACGATATAGATTATAATAGAAACAAATGAAAAGCTTCATGGAGCCAAAGGAGAACTTCAGTTGACATAAGTGGACACCTCAGTGGTACCCTAGTCAACTACTTAATATCAGTCGCCACTCGCCATATTCTTAAAACTTGATCATGTGATAGAATTGAATGGTGAAGAAAGGCTAAGGGGCTAAAATAAAGGCTAAGGGGCTAAAATAGATACAAAGTCAACCTAAAAGAGAGAGCGACATCATGCTCACCTAGAAAGGTTCATGTCATGTAGAAACCACTGGAAATAAAAATAAAATTATGACATGCATAAACAATTAGAGTCCCAAAAAAGTGCGCCAAATAAAAGCATGAATTAAACAAACATGCAAGGAAATTAGAATTTGCATGAGAAAACAAAAGCTCAATAAAATAGGTAGAGAAGCAATCACAAGTGACAGCTTATTGACCATCTCGACGCTAGTACCATGACGAATTTACCTTACCAATAATAACACATCTAATTGGACTAACAAGTAACATATAATCTGCGATTGTGCCTAGCTGGGCAGTTCATCAGGAGCTGCTATCTGGGACCAAGCACTAAGTACTCTTAATTTTCTTTTTCAATTGATTTCTAAGAGGATTGGCAAATTTCACTGTGCCTAACACATCTAATTGGAAATTCTAGCATTGCTTCATGTCGTCAAGAAGTATTTTTATATTGGTACACAATTTATGAAAAATCTCCTACATTTCACTTGAATGTACAACTTTGCATCGTTGAAGGCGTTAAAAAAGAAACAAAAAGAATTCTTAGCAAATAGTTTACTTGTTTTAGGGATATCACCGTACACCTTGGATTCATCAGTCTCCATAGTTAATAATTCATCATATTGAGTAAACAATGAAATAACAAAAAGAATAAACGATAATTTAGAGCAATTTTTGCTTTTTCTTTGTTAATGGGATTGTTATAGCCCGTTTGACCAAGATGCAAAAATCAGCTTATTTTGAGAAGTGTTTTTTTTTCAAAAGTGTTTTTCTCAAAAGTACTTTTGGTGAGAAGCAGTTTGTGTTTGACTAATTAGTTTGAAAAGTACTTCTGAGCAGCAATTAGTGTTTGACCAAGCTTTAAAAAACTGCTTCTAAGTGTATTTTTCTCAAAAGTGCTTTTGGAGAGAAACTACTTTTTTCTGCTTCTCCAAAACTGCTTCTGATTCTCCTCAAAAACATTTTTTTTCTTCCAAAAGATTGGCCAAACACCTCAATTTTTTGCCAAAAATGCTTTTGGCAAAAAAAAAAAGCATATTTGGCCAAAAAGAAGCTTGGCCAAACAGGCTAGTAGTAATAACAAGTGATTTCCCTTTGTTTCTATTTATGCTGGATTCCTCTTGGTCTTCCTCTTTTTTTTTTTCTTTTTTTTTTTGATTTCTTATTACCTACTGTTTCTGATGAAGTTTATGCTACACTGAATAATTTTTCGTTGTTTTCATTTTTTTAGATGAATTTATGTGGGTTTGTAACGACCCGGCCGGTCGTTTCATGAGTTACCGCTCCATTTTCCCCATTTCTGCTTCTTATTTCCTTGTTCAGCTGTATTATGTGCTATCGGGTTGGTTGGCTCGGGTTCAGAGAGGTTTTGGTAAGGTTTGAGACACTTAGTCTCTTTTGAGTGAGCTTAAGTTAGAAAAGTCAACCGGATGTTGACCTATGTGAAAAAGGGCTTGGATGTAAATTACGATAGTTTGGATATCTTCGGGAGGTGATTTGGGACTTAAGAGCGTGATTGGAATGTGTTTTGGAGGTCCGGAGTAGATTTAGGCTTGAATTGGTGAAATTGAAATTTTGGCATTTTCCAGTTGATAGGGTAGATTTTGATATAGGGGTCGGAATAGAATTACGGAAGTTGGAGTAGGTCGGTCCGTTGTATCATTTTTAACGTGTGTGCAAAATTTCAGGTCATTCGGAGGTGGTTTGATAGACTTTTTGATCAAAAGCGAAATTCGGGAGATTTTGGAACCTTAGGCTTGAATCCGGTGTTATTTGGTTGATTTGATGTTGTTTGAGATGTTTTGAAGATTGGTATAAGTTTGTTTAGTGGTATATGACTTGTTCGTGCTTTTGGTTGAGGTTTCGGGGGGCCTCGGGGTGATTTCGGATGGTTGACGGAAAGTTTGGAGTTGTGAATTTGCAGCAAAGCTGCTGAGTTTTCTGTCATTACCGCACCTGCGGCTTGGGGACCGCAGGTGCGAGCCCGCAGAAGCGAAAGTGAAGACACAGATGCGGCCAAGAGAGGGAAAGGTTGGAACTGCAGAAGCAGAACTTTGGACGCACCTGCGATGGCGCAGGTGTGAGAATATTATCGTAGGTGCGGTGGCTGGGCGGATAAGTGGAATCCGCAGATGTGCACCTGGGACCGGAGGTGCGATAATTAGACCGCAGATGCAATTTTGCTGGATCAAAACATATAAATTTCACCCTTCGCGATTTTGAGTGGCTTTTCACCATATTTTATTCTAGAGAAAGCTTGAGGGAGCTATTTGAAGACGAATTTCAAGAGGATTTCGTAGAGGTAAGGTTTTTTGGACCCTAAACTCATTTCTATAGTATTATTTTACTGATTAGGCTTGAAATTTATGGTTAAAAATTGAAGAACTCGGCTTGAAATTGGAGACCTTCGATTAGGAATTTGACGGGTCATTTGTGGTTGGATTTTCCTATATTTGATATGTACGAACTCGTGAGAGTGTAAGGATTCTAGTTTTGTGATTTTTGTCGGAATCCGAGACGTGGGCTCGGGAGTCGGGTTTGGCCAATTTTGGGATTTTTGATGTATATTGGTTATTTTCGAGAGGGCTTCATTCCCTTAGTATATTTTGATGGTATAAATCTATTTTTGGATAGATTTGGAGCATCCAGAGGCCGATTCGAGGAGCAAAGGCATCGCGGGCTAGAGTTTGGACCGGATAGAGGTAAGTAATGATTGTAAATGCTGTCCTGAGGGTATGAATCCCCGGATTTCACATCGTTGTGCTACTTTGAGGTGACGCACACGCTAGATGACGAGCGTGGGGTCGTGCACCGTTGGGGATTGTGACCTAGTCCATCTCGTATGACTATTAAACTGCATATTTGCTTGAAAACTGTTTGCTATCATCATGTTTTGGGCTGAATGCCGTATCTGGGCCCCGTGCCAACTATTTTGGACCCTTAGGGGATTTTTACTACTATTCCTCACTATTTTGACTTCATATTTGTACTCAGTCATGCTGTATTCTACTGTTTTCATAGCTCAACCATATTTACTCTGTTTTGACATCTTAAATGATATTTTGGGTTGAGTATCATATTTTACTATGCCCGAATGGTTTTGAAAGATTTATGACTGAGTGAGGCCGAGGGCTTGTGTTGTGAGGTTATTATGGGATCGGGCTGCGTGCCGCAGCGGTATTGTACTGATTCATGATTATGAGGCCGAGGGTCGGATTTGTTACGCCACGAGGTGGTTTGTTATGAGGCCAAGTGCCTGTTTGATTATGCCACGAGATGGCTTGTTATTGCGCTTGGGCCATAAGGGGCCCTCCCGGAGTCTGTACACCCCTAGTGAGTGCGGGTACCCAGTGTGAGATATGATATAGCCCGAGGGGCTGATGTTGTTCCATCTTATTGCCCGAGGGGCTGGTCCTGTTGGTATTTTTGCTCGAGGGGCTGGTCCTGTTGATATTTTTGCCTGATGGGCTGATTTATGTTTCTATCTTTCCTTCCTATTTTCATTCACTCGTTTGAACTGCTAAAAGATGTTTTAAAGAGGTTTTACTGAACTAAGGTGTTTGTATGAGCTTTTGTTGTTTCATTGCATTGTTCTGATTTTATACTGCCTCGTTGTAGCATTTTACTGTGTTTTATGTATTTTCTTATCGCTCAGCTGCCTTTACTTTTATTACTTACTGAGTTGGCGTACTCATATTACTCTCTGCACCCTGTGTGCAGATTCAGGAGTCTCGGGTCACGCTAGCGAGGGTTGATTGCTTACAGCAGGCTGTTCGGAGTTGACTAGGTAGTTGCTCGGCGTTCGCAGCCCAATGCTTCTCATTCCTATCTTTACTTTCCTTGTACTATCATTATACTAGATTGTGTAGACTTTTCATATTCTTCGATGGATGTTTAGATGCTCATAACTAGTGACACCCCGATGTCGGGCTGTGTTGTTTCCGCATTGTTCTATTCCACTCTTTATTTTGGGATTTATAGTTTATTTATGACTTAAATATGAATTATTATAACTGTTTAATTGATTTGGGGGTTTGTTTCGGTTGGCCTTGTTTCACGATAGGCGTCGTCACGACCGGGTTCGGATTAGGGTTGTGACAGGGTTAATCCATGGGAAAATATGGGTCAAGAGTTAGGCATTTTATTTGTACGATCTCTTAATTAGGTATTATTAGCATCTAAGTAGTAATACTTTATTTTTCTCTTTTATCTTCTAATTTTGGGATTTGGCCTTCCCTGATTTTGACTGGGTTATCATATGTCTTGCATGTGTTAGCTATTCAATTTCTGATTCTTGTTAAAAATCTTTCTTCTTCCTCATCCTCTTTCTTTTTCCAGTAATTTTATTGGAATAATGGGGACTTTTCTATTTCGATCTTTGCAGGATTATTCTTTGTCTTCCTCTTTTTTGCGACTTTATTCATGCTTCATGTCTTCCAATTTTCATCTTCTAATTTTAGGATTTGGCCTTTCATGATTTTGACTGAGTTATCCTATGTCTTGCATGTGTTAGCTATGTGTTGGGATGAATGATGAATATTACTACTACAAACTTCAAATTAGAGATGATGAAGAATATGGAACTTTACATTCTGGAAGATTATTCCAACAATATTCTGTAGATGAATATATAAACCTCGAAACACAGAGATTAGATTCAATCAAGAATTATTTCGAACTGAGGTATTTGAAGGACTTACTAATCTTCTAAGACTAGGTGAAAGAGAAGCTTCAAATATTGGCAGAAAAATATTCCTTCCTATTAGCTTTACTGGAGGTCCAAGAGATATGCGATGCCGATATATGGATGCCATTGCGTTAGTACAACACTTTGGAAAACTTGATATCTTTCTAATGATGACATGTAATTCTTCATGGCCATAGATAGAAGATTTTTTACTTCCAACTGATGAAGTACAAAACAGACC